ATTATATCCCACCATCCCCTTTGGGCCTAGCTTAGCTTGCTTTGGGAGTTTCTCTAAGTTGATTTTTTTCGCTTTTATCAAACGCCGTAAGACTATCCTTATGGCACCCGCAAAAGACAAGAAAAAAGAAAAAAGAAAAAAGAAAAAAGAAAAAAATGCAGATATCACGCGACCCAGGCTACATTATGTTGGTCAGCCATCTATGGAAAGAGAGGAATGGGACATATGTCCATCAGAAATTCTATGGTGCCCATATGGGCACCATAGAATTTCTGTATGTCCCATTCCCATTGGTTAGAATTAGTTTTATAATAATGTAAAATATAACTTAAATTATTAGTTTTAATTTATGTTGAAAAATAAAAACACCAAAAAGTCGTATTTTTTCATTCGTTACAAATAGAGACTACGCTTGATAGGTTTTGGAACACAATTGCAATTTCTCTCTTTTCACTCTTTTTTTAATCATATCTTATTAATTTTATCATCTCTTTCCATTTTCCTAATTTCCAACAAATGCCATACGGATACAAATTTTATGTATTACCTCAATTCACAAAATTTAATTGTATTGTAAAATATTAATTTTTTGAAATTATTACGACTTTATTATGGATTTTTTAATTAATTTGTCACAATCAAAACAATAAAAAAAATTAATTTTAGATAATATTTAATAAATAAATAAATAAAAATAAATATTATGTTGGGTTGGGTTGAGGATAAAAACACGAAGGTTATTAAGGTTGGGTTGTATAGAAGAAAGAGAGAAAAATAGTTTTTATTTATTAGATTGAGTTAGGTTGGACTGGAAAAATGCAGTCTAAGTATATAAATTGTATTATTTTAGTTAGAAGCTTTCGCTTGTTGGCTCTTGTTATTTTTAAGTACAACTCTATTTAATTTTGATTTTATTATATTAGTTTTTATTATTCTATTTGGGGCGGGTACGATATAATATCCATAAAAGAATCAGTGTTCTAAAAATCGTCAGGCGCCGTCTAGTCGGGGTCTAGAAATTAATATTAAATATCTTATTTTCTTATTTATTTTAACTACCTACAAAATAAAACTATCTCAACCTATAATGAATCCACACACCTAAGTAAATAATAATATTAATATATTTTAAAGAAAACATGCGAACAAAATAATGTTATTAGTATTTAAAAAAAATTGAAAAATTGCTTCCGAGCCCACCTAGGAGCGCCTAAGTCAGCCTACGCCCGCCTAAGCGCCGTCTAATCACCTAGCCGCTGAGCTCAATTTGAAGAATATAAATCGAAGAATACGACATATTTTAAAATTTGAAGGACACGAGTATTACAACATATTATGCTTTATATATAATTTGATATATTTATATTATAAATATTTTATTATTAACAATAATTAAGGTTTAATTATTTAGTCGCACAAAATTAAATTATCTAAATTGATCAGATATAAAATATACTAGGATCAATAAAAACACTTGTAAAATTTAATTGTCAACAGNATTCTCGAATCCCCCATTTTTTCCCATTTTTCATTCGATTCAGTGCATCAAACTCATCGCGGCGATGTCGTTGAGGATACTTGTGACGGGTGGCGCGGGTTATATTGGGAGTCACACGGTGCTGCAGCTGCTGCTGGGCGGGTACAAGGCGGTTGTGGTGGACAATTTGGATAATTCATCGGAAGTTGCTATCAAAAGGGTTCAGGAACTCGCCGGCAAACATGGCTCTAACATGACCTTTCATAAAGTTTGATTTTTATCTTTTCTTATGGACTTTTTGTGTCGATACTTTTAATTTGGGTCTTATTGTTCTTCGTGTTTTGAGTCGTGTGTTAGTTCACAGGCTTGATTTTGGGTAGTACGTAGGTGTATGATTGAGTGATGTGGTACACGAGAAGAGGATCACTCTTACTTGCTTGATTTGTGTTATTTCTGGTATTTCGTGATCATTTTATTTCTTGATTAGGGGAAAAGTGGCAAATTTTGCAAACAATTGATGCTTTTCACAAGCTTGCAATTTGATGCGCAATTCATGTTTTGTTGAATTGTTTTTTTTTAACTTACTATGCTGGTGGGAGTGTGATCTGTTCCAAGAAATTCCATGGCGCCAGCTATTTACTAGCTAGAACGGATTGGTCATAAATTTTTTTCGAGCTTGGTTCTTTTTGATATTTCATATGTGAAGTTCTTGTTAAGGATTTTTTTTTTTTTTTTTTTTTTTTTCTCNTACTATTACTATTTGTTGACACTGTCTCAAAGTAGTGATCAAGTCAAGAAAGGATGTCAAATATACTGGGTATGTGCTCGATGTATTTCTTGTTCCCAAATGAAGTATGAGGTGTAGTTCTCTGAAAATGTTATCTTTACTCCAATGATCATTTTTTTTACTTGTTCTGTATCATTTTAATTGGTTGCAGATAGATCTTCGGGATAAGCCGGCACTTGAGAAACTTTTTGTTTCTGAAAAGTAAGTATTTATTGGTGAAGAATCCTTCATTGATGAGGGTGATATGCCCATACTTGGTTCTGATCTCAAAAAGTTGTCTATAAGTATCATGTTTGAAATGTTTAATCTCTTTAAAGTTGTCACCACAAAGATCCCAAGTTATTCTTCAAATATTCAGCATATGCTGAAAAATAAAGCGCAGTACTTGAGAGCTAAAGTTGTTTGTGTTTCAAATTACATGTCCTCTAAGACGTCATCTGAGAATAAAATGGTATACATGTATTTACAGTAAGTCTGTAACATAGTGTCCAATGTATATCTTATGGTCTTTCTTATACCATTTAACTCTCAAGTCTCAAATTTGGTCTTGTAAGGAACTCTGGCCCAGGATTGAGGGATGATTGTTCCTTTTTATTTCTTTCTCCAGAACATGGATGTTCTCTTAGCTACAACATTTTTATTCATTAACTGAGATTCTAATATGTCAAGTCTTCAGGACAGAATAAAATGACTTCTGTATAAATTAGTGTTGTTTTTTTTTTATTTCAGTACCTTATATTACATTGAGAATCAACCTGGTAAAAGAACAAATTTTGAATATCTTAGTCCCCAGTACATGAACATTGGATTCTACAATGATTGTACATTTGTCCTCAATTTCGCATTGTCCTTAAAATTTGACACGCTGACATCACTTTTGCTTCTAATGAAGGTTTGATGCCGTCATTCATTTTGCCGGGTTAAAGGCAGTTGGAGAAAGTGTGCAGAAACCCTTGATGTATTATGACAATAACATTGTTGGTACTATTATGCTATTGGAAGTCATGGCTGCCCACGGATGTAGAAAAGTAACTTGTCCTTGTTTTGTGACTTCACAAAATATACCTATTTTAGATTCCCACTGATTTCTCTCATTTTAAACGAAGTTTATTCATTCTTTATTTTCAGCTAGTGTTTTCATCATCAGCTACTGTGTATGGCTGGCCGAAAGAGGTTCCATGCACTGAAGACTCCCCTATTAGTGCTATGAATCCTTATGGACGGACTAAGGTGATCTTATTACTTTTTCAACACATTATTTTGTGAATGGAGCTTGTTGTAAGGAGTAAAGGATGAGGGGAAGATTATTACAGAAGAGTACAAAATACTTATAGTAGCTTGTTGCTCACCGAAGATTCTAAAATTAATTTTCTTCCTTTCTTTCATGTGTGTATTCTGATAATTCTTGATATAGGTGAGACTATCTCACTTTTGCTAGAACTTCACTGCTATCAATAAAATGACCTGACGTAATCTCGATTCAGCTTTTTATAGAAGAGATATGTCGAGATCTTTACCAGTCGGACAAAACATGGAAAATCATTTTACTGAGGTATTTCAATCCTGTGGGTGCTCATCCAAGTGGTTATATTGGTGAAGATCCTAGAGGAATCCCAAACAATCTTATGCCCTTTGTGCAACAAGTTGCTGTTGGAAGGCGGCCTGCGCTTACTGTTTACGGAACTGACTATGGCACAAAGGATGGAACAGGGGTAGGTAACATTAGTAAGTTCTTAGATTTATTTGCAGAGACACACACAAACAAACAGAGATTCTGTTTGGAGATTCCTTTTTTATTGTCGTTTAAGAGGCTTAGTTTTGTTACGCATTGAATGCTCTTTAGATCTTTTTATCGCTTGTTCCATCTTTATCCCTACTTGTTATAAGAAATGATGACAAATTTATGGTAGTGAGAGAATTATGATAAAGGTTGATAAGGAATATTATTTAGTATATTACGGGTTGTCTCAACTTTTGGTGTTTCTTATTTTTTAACAGACTCTAAAACGAATGTTAGATAAAGAATAGAGGGACTAGTAAACATAATTATATGTGTTCCGAAAAGGTCATTTGTTTGGCCTTTTGAGTTAAACATGTTCTGCAGAATGTGAGATGCTAATTTGAAATTTCAATCCAGCTGTACCCTAACTTTCTTCCCCACCTAGATCACAATTAAACTTTTTCTGAATATATTTAAAATTTCAGGTACGTGATTACATCCATGTTGTGGACTTAGCAGATGGCCATATTGCTGCTGTGAACAAGCTTTCTGATCCTTCTGTAGGTATGAGCTTAGTGTATAGTTCATTACAATGGTTATTTATTTTCTTTTCGAAATTATTATGTAATAAAGTTAGCGAGTTTTTTCTGTTATCCTTCCAGTTATCGTTGTATATTTCTTGCTTATCTTGTCTTTAGGGTTCTATAAATTATCTTTATCATGGTTGAGAAGTAGTTAGTTGTGAATCGATTTTCATATAATTGTTTTATTTTTGTTGGTTTAGTTAATTAAATAAGCCTTTGCTATGTTGTGTGTAAAATGCAGGCTGTGAGGTGTATAATCTTGGGACAGGACATGGTACATCCGTCTTAGAAATGGTTGCAGCATTTGAAAAAGCATCAGGGAAGGTAACTTCATGAAATCAATACTCCAGATTTATATGCACAACTAGTTGCACCTTTGAGGTTCTTTTTCTTTTTCTATTTGTTTCTTTTATACTATTATTTTTTTTTAAATTTTTTATGAGTTCTATTTATAATTGTGTCTGTGCTTGTATATCTTTCTGTGAAAAATAATTGTAATGAGGTAGTAAATATACACTATACTGGGATAAATGATTGAAGAAGCTATCATGCTACGCGTGCATTATGTCAAAGTGTATATCATTCATTATGTTATATGGTATTGTAGCATGAATCCAACAAAAAGCCTCATCGACAATTCAAATATTTCACTATGACATAAGACCTTAACTTTAATAAGGTAAAAAAAAGAAAAAAATATTGTGTTATGATAGTGTACAGTGGCTCTAACTTTTTGGTTATCGAATAGATCTCTTGCTGCCTTTTCTAATGAAAGCATTTCAATCTGTCAAATTCCTTTTTTTGCTTTATTTTGAATGCGTTTAATACTCTCACTATTTCAACATAAACATACCAATATTTGGGTATTTTTGGTTCAGAAAATTCCATTGATAATGGCTGATCGACGACCTGGAGATGCTGAGATTGTATATGCTGAAACAGACAAAGCCGAACGGGAGCTTAAGTGGAAGTAAGGCTTTCTTTTTTACTTCTTTTCGTTTTTTTCAGTTATTCTTCAATTAAAGGCATTATAGTTGGCTAACTAATCATATTTTGGTCATTTCTAAAGGGCAAAATACGGCATTGATGAGATGTGCAGAGACCTGTGGAACTGGGCAAGCAAGAACCCTTACGGTTACGAGCCAACTAAGTGATGTCGAGTGTCAAGTGAGGTCTTGCATTTTAGTTCTTAGGTAGAGTTAATTAAATTGTAAATCGACAATGACACTGTTGATTAAGTGAAGTTTTCTGTGGTGTTGAGGTTGTTAACCTTAATACAAAGACTTTGCCAAGAGCAGTTATAATCTACTAACTACTACTATCTTAAAAGGATGAATATTTCTATAAATATATGTGTAGACTAAAATATACTCAACATGAAACTCAGTAATTATATTCAGTAATTATGTGGGAGTTCAATGTAATAATACCTCAGTTACTAAATTTTTCTCGATGGTTCGTATAATTTTATTTGTCTCTACTTCATTTTGGTGCCTCTTCCTCGATTTAAATTCTTATTTCCTCACCGTTGAAGATTTGGACGGAGAATTACATAGGACATACATGGAGATGAAAAGAAAAATCCAGCTTGATTTGCTAACTACGAGTTT